GAGCACAGAAACTGAAACAGATGTTTTCAATTCAATTCAATTTTATTTGTATAGCGCATATTTACAACAACAAGTCATCTCATAGCGCTTCACAAAGGCAGAAACAGAAACACCCAACAATCCAAAACATCTGGATTCCCTATAAGCTTCAGCAGTCCAGCTTTCAGTATTTGTTTGGGATTATTTGGAGCTCACTGGCCGGTTCAGTGTGATTCTGTACGTTAAAACTCACATTAAAAGTGATTCTGAGAGAGATATGAACAGGAAACCAAATGTGAAAACAGATAACTCCATGTTCATAAACCTTCAGAAAACCCACTTTTCCATCATTTACCTGAGACAATATCAATTTAGTTGTCTCTATTTTTGCAATTTCTACTGAGTCAAATCCACTCAGCTTTGATATTCTCTCAAGCAAACAACTAAATAAGTTCTTAAAATCTACAAAAATGGACTTATCTGTTTTTGCAAATGCTTCACCCTGATCCCAGAGTCTCCATCCTACTGACTGTCACCCACATGACATCTGCCTTAAACTTGCCTCGCACTCACTTTTTTTGTTTTCATGTAAACAGGGGGACGCGCACAAACACTACAAACACAAGAGGGCAACACACATAAAAACCCAGAGACATCCTCCCCGCTGCGCAAACAAAAGCAAGAAAAGCACCCGTCGGACTGGTCGTCTGAGAATGGATGTGGAGGTGGAGCAGAGAGGAGCTGGGTGGTGGTGGTTGGAAGAGGATGCCCTTTAAAAAGCAGATTAGGACACACATCTCACACTGCACGAGCTCACACACACACTAACACACACTCGCTGAGTCTGGGACTATGGCCTCCACCACCTCGGGTGACGTTCTGCCTTCGGGCGGCAGGATTTTCACCAGCGTTCCCGACGTCTTCTTCATCCCAGAGTTTGTGAGTTTGTCTCAAGATCTTTTTCTTTCATCTGCCTTCTAGCGCTTCTCCTCATCTTCCTCTCCTGTTCTTCTCTATCTTCCTCCTCATCATCACCAGCAGCTCCACTGAGGCGAGACTCTGCTCAGATAAGGATCAGTCTTGTTCTGTCGCGGTGTTTGATCAGCGGAGCCGAGCTAACCCGCCGTGAAGATTAGACGAGTCGATCTGGAGCTATTTTATTAATGATTGTTGGCAAACAGCTACGCTCAGAAAAGGAGCAAATAGTTTCTATGGCAACAGCAAAACAACAAACACAAGCAATTTTGGCAACGAAACCTAAAGAAGTTAAATCTATTCACCTGTAAGACCCACATGATGCAGGAGTATATCCACACATATACTCACAGGGCTCCAGCTGTGCAACCTCTGACATTAATTCGACTTTCACAAAGTTTTTTCTTCCTCCACAGACAGGGCGGTTTGGAAGATTAAATCTATACGACACAGGTGGAAAAACACCTGCAGGTGCCAAATCTAAACCGGTCATCAACTCGCTGCTCTGCACCCTTTTTTCTAGAAACGATCTCAGGAATGGAAATGTACCGACAGCGTTTACGGCTCTGGTCGGAGCTGGAGGTGTGAAATTCAACCGTTGTGGATATTAAAGAAAAAAAAAGGAAAAAAAGGGGCGGGGAGGATGGATGGAGCTGTTTTTTTGGCAAATGCTCTCCTGGAATGAAGCAGAGAGAGAAGCTAGCTTTGCACAGTGAAGATATTTAATGTTTTGGAGGATTTTGGGGGGTTTTGAAGCACATAAAGATCAATGAGACGCCTCCATAGAGCTGCATAGTGTCACACAAATATGTTTAGTTAAAGTCAATCGGGTATGTAGAGGACAGAGGCAGGGCTGAGATGCTGTTTCCCCTCAAACCCAAACTAGTTTTTACACATATGAGAAGCTGAGGAGGTCGTTTTCATTCATAGGATGAGGAGCAGAGCAGCAGATTTCTCAGTGATCAGTGTCAATAACTCAGACGGGTGTTTCCCTGATGGAATGTAATGGAGTTTAATGGGACGGATTCAGCTGATTTTGAGGAAACTGAAACCTCTCCCTCCACCACTTGTTGACATGGAAACGGCGGCTGCACCCAGAGACCCAGGGTCAGAGCCAATCGTTCATCAAAGCCTTTTCAAAGTGGCATAAAACATTTCTCTGCCTCAAATCCGAGCGGGCGAGGCCGGGCTTGTTTCGTACACATGAATCATCGCTGGTCTGAAGAAGGCGTTTCAGTACATGTTGACCTTTAGCTGCGGCTGCAATGGGAATGTTTGATTGGGCAGGGATGTGTTTCTGTGCACGTTTAACAGGCTGCGTTCCCTTTGACCTGGACCAGAGCTGATAACAATCATGTCACATTTCTGATAGGGAGCAGCGGCGATAAGGCTTGTGTAATATTTGCTGATATTACTGCATGTGATTAATGGAGAGTTTGAACGTAGTAACGAGATGTTTTCACAGGAACGGACAATGCTCTGGGTGTTTGCTCACACTGTGAAAGAAAATAATACAATGTAGAAAAAAAATCCGGCAGCAAGGGGAACAGAAATAATATGTAAAAAACAGGAAAATAGTGTAAAGTTCACAAACTGCAAAAAACAGGAAAAAACTGAAAATACTGGCAAATCTGTAAAATAATGATCTTTAAAATGGTTTCAAATACAGTAAAACTGTAACATTTTACAGTCACACATTGTAAAATAATTTATTGCCATTTGTAAAAATACAGATTTTTTTTAAAATGAGGGCACTATGTAGAGTTTTCTTTTTTCCCCATTTTTTTACAAATCAACATGTAAATTATTACATTTTTTCAGTTTTTTAATTTTTTTTAAATTTTATTTTACTAGATATCCATAATATAACAGAGAACTGAGAACAGTAGAAAAAGAAAAAACAAAACAAAACAAACAATAGTGCTAAAAATTGTCCTTTAGAAAAAATACATTATAAAATAACATTTTTATTTATTTATTTACTCATTGATTTATTTATTTAAACTGTTTGGAATTATACTAGACATCTTTAATTAAATTTTTCAAAAAAAGAGGAAAATCTGGAAAATAGCGTTTTTTCAGACAATCTAAATACAGTAAAGTTTAAACTGTTTGGGATTTTATTAGATTTCTTTAATTTGAAAAAAAAAGAAGGAAAATCTGTAAAATATGAGCAGAAAATACAGGATGTTACGAAAGAATGATAGAAAAACAGTCAAACATGGGTAAAACCAGAGATGATCTTTTATTTCTTATGAAGCCAAAACATCTTATTGTAGTTATTACAATCAGCTAATTGCAGCATTATTTTCATTTTAAAGAAAAGCACATTTTGCTTCATATTACGTTGACAAACTCAGTTTAAGTCCACATAACGTCTACATTCTAATCCAGATCAGCGTCGTGGGACATTCTAACCCTGATGTGACGCCGTCATGCAGAACATCTTCAGAGACATTTACTGGGATCTTTTCAGGTGGAAATCAGCCTTTATGGGGTTAAATGAAATTAGCAGGCTGGAGAAATGCAGGTGTGTTGTTTAGTTTAGGGCGGGGCACATTCTTCCTGTTCACACTGAAAGTTGGTTTCTGAGCAAAAAAAAAAGCAGCAGCAAAGCAGCTGGATGGTGAAAAGAACATCCAGACTTTGAACTCATCGTGTTACACAGCTGACTGTGATTCTGAGACATTTTGCAGGAAAAAAAACTTTAACTTTCACTTTGAATGGCTCGGCTGAATGCAGATGAAGACAGATGGAAGACATTTTTATTTACAGCTTCAACGTTTAAGCAAACCCATAAAACACAGAGTTAAATTTCACCATTTCTGCAGTAAATTCAGTGATAAATAAAAGTTCCTGTTGCACTTTGCCCTCAAAATCATCGTCCAGCAGTAAGAAATGGGTCTACAAACATAAAAAAAAGATCTTCTTCAGCTTTTAGATGAAACTGTTGGACTTAGATGGAGCCTAGAAGGAGTTTTCTCTAACTTGCGGCTCTGTTTTTTGTCTTTGGGAACGCTCTCAGAGTAAATTGGTCTCATTTCCGGAGTAAATCTCATGTTCTTGTATAGATCTGTTCTCCACATGCTGCCGTTTGCGCCGACTCTGCTCCTGCACACCTGATATTTGAGGACTCAGTGCTGATTGGCTGATTGAAACACCTGAAACACAATCTGCCTTTTCTGCAGCAGCAGACGTTTCCACTTGTCATGACGAGAAAACCAGCAGCAGCTTTGTCTAAATGACTCCTGATAGTTAATAAAAGACTCTTGTTGCACAAAAAGACAGCGAAGCAGCAAAGCGTCTCAGAGTTTCTCTTATCGGAGAACAAACGCTGGAGGTTTCACGCTCCGTCTAAATGCCAAAAGCTCTTTCAAAGCTCAGTGTTTGTTAAAGGAGGAGACACAAAGAGCGACACAATACGACGACTTAGAGCAGCAACACTGAGTGTGTCGGACCAAAGCTCAGCTCAAAGTTGGTCTCACATGTTGTGACAGAAAACGTTGGGCGTCAGTTTAGGAGATATAATCTGTATTTAACAAAACATCTGGAAAACAACAATAAAAATCTACAGTAAAATGATTATATTGTTATACTAATTAAATACAGGAAAAAATGAGTATTTTTTGTGAAAATGACAGATTTTTAATGTGGATGTTATTCACAGTTTTGGCCAACTTTTTTTTATAATTATTTGTACTTTCTTCTTAATGATTAATATATATTTTTAGACTTTTTAAATACAGTTAAAATTGTGTAATTTTACAGTAAATATTGTAAAAAAAATATTTTGTGTTTATTATTTTTTAATGATTAATCTGTAAATTAACCTTTGGGGTGATTTTACTCGATATTATCTGTAAGTTAACAAAACAGGGAATATCTGTAAAACAATAATAATAAACAGATTTTTTTTGGTGTTGAAATAACAAAAAATATTGAATAAATATATATTTTTTCTAATTATTTATTTATTTTTGTTATTAATGATTAATGTGTAAATTAATCTCTTTTTGGGATTTTTATTGTTTAGATATTTGTTTAAAACAATAATTAATATACTATTTTTTTCTTCTAAACAACGGCACATATCTGTAAAATAATATATTTTCAGTCGATTTAAATACAGTAAAAAATTGTGTAATTTTACAGTAAATATTGTTACATTTTTAAAAAATTCTTGTGTTTATTTCTTATTTTTTTAACCTGTAAATTAACCTTTTTTCAAGGTGATTTTACTGGATATTATATGTAATTTAACAAAACAGGGAAAACCTGTAAAATAACAATAAACTGATAAAAACCATTTATTTTTTACTTTATTTTGTTTTTTACAGTGCACCTCAGTGTGTAGGACGTAGAATCTGGTTGTGTTCAAGTTGGACTCAAACTAAAGAACAACAGTTTTCATATCTTCACCTTCTGCATCCGTCTCAACCCCATAGTTTTTAAAAAATTTGCCTTTTGTGAGTTGAGAACCTCCGACTGCTCATCAGGACTCACGTTCCTGCTGTTTGCTGTGACCAACGCCTGAGCTTTCAGGATCTACAGTTTAACCCCGATCCATCCGTCGCTCATTTCAGCGTCTCCTCCTTCTTCTGCAGGTGTTCGGAGGGCTGGTTTGGATCCTGGTGGCGTCGACTCGGGTCGTTCCGGAGAACCCTCTGGGCTGGGTGATGTTCGTGTCCGTCTTCTGCTTCGTGGGGACGACGCTCTGGTTCTTCATCTTCCTCTGCGGCGCCAATCAGAGCAGCATCTGGCCCTCGCTGGTGAGAAACGACAAGAAGCGTGAAGCTAACGTTCCACAAATATCTTTATATTATCTGTAGTAAAGGCTGTACCAATGAGAGGTGGTCGAGCAGAACTTGTCCTAAAAAAGTTGAGACAAGACGACCCATAAAGAAGTTCTGTTTTCCTGCCTTCGTATCTTCCTATCACCCATCCACCTCCACTTTTCTGGTCTCTTCTTCCCCGTCGTCTCTCCCTCTGCAGGATGTGGGCTTCCATTTCCTGGCCGTGGTTTTCTTCCTCAGCGCGTCGGTGGATCTGGCCTACATCACTTATTTGAACGGATTGTTGATTTTGGTTCCAGAACAGCTCAAAAACTACCGACTGGACATCGCTGCAGTGGTGCGTCCAACACAAACCCGCTTGTCGAGCCACGTTCATGCAACAAGTTTCAACCAAATGCTAGCTGTTTCGTAGCATTTCTAGAAGTAGTTTATTTTGAATTCAGCTTTCACGAGAAGAGACTCAACGTTTTGCTGGTTACTGGCTCTACGATGGGTTCCTTGTTAGAATGTAGTTGCAGTTTTTATCAATAAAACTTCGATTTAAACCCTAAAAATGATCTCTAGGTATCAAAGGTACACATGAAGAAGCCTTTTCTCTGTAAAAATTAGCTGAAAATGGCTTAAACGTAGCTCTACACCATATGCAGATCTAAGAAACCCCAGCTTCTCTCTCTGCTCGCTGCAGCTCCAGCACACCAGCTTTCCTGCAGCTCTGCTCAAACGCCGTGAAACTGCTCTACGATGCACAATTGCAAGTTGCACTATTATAATTCAGCCGTGCAAATGCCAATTCTAAAGAAAAAGGATGATACAGGAAGCCCCGCCCTGCAAAGTGACAGGATTGGCTCGTTAGGTTTGTGATGTCAGAAACCCAGGAAGTCTGAATCTGTGTTTTTCAAACTGCCGTCGGTGCACCGCAGTTTCAATGTGGGAAGACGTAACCGTGGCCTCAACTGCGTATTTCACTCCTGATGTGTCTTCCAGCTTAAAATAATAATTATAAAAGCAACATATGGACATGTTAACAAAAAAAATGAACTTTTAGCGGAGGAGTTGCTCAAAATAAGACTTAGCTTCATTATCTAATCAAGTGTCACCATGCAGTGTGATCCTAAATGAAGCATTTTCTCCATTTTTACATCAGTATTTTCTATTTTTTGGTGTTGAATGTGTGCTAAAGTTGGTTAAATCAGGCATGAGATGAGAATTTTTGCATTTTTTTGACCAAAAGGTTCAACAGAATAAATGAAAAGCTGCAGCTCTGGTGTGACTTGATGCAGAATTTTAAATCGAAATGACAATCATCCACCTCCAAACCTCTGGTGTGCTCTTCCAGGTGATGTCCTACGTCGCCACTCTGCTCTACTTCCTTCACGCCATCTTCTCCGCCATCCGATGGAAGAGCGCCTAAAACCACGACACGAAAGATTAAAAACAAAAAGAACCACATGACCAGACGACCTGTCGCCGGACTAAACACTGAACATCTTTTTTATTTTCAGCAGGACTAACTTGTCACATGAATGACTGGTTCTGGTTCTGTTGTTGAGTTTAAACCTGCACAGTGTCGCCTCACAGTCGCCTCGTTTTTTAACCAGAAAGGTCCGAAAAAACACAAAGAAAATGAACCTTCAAGTGAATAAATGTGATTTAAAGAAGATGGATGAATGTCAATCACTGATTAACTTGCTCTGTAGTTCACCCACATTTTACCTCCAGAACACTGTCAGGTGTTTTTATTTGGATTATTTCTGTAAAAAAAAAGTCATTCACAGCATTTTCTGAAGAATGAGCGCTCAAACTGTGCTGTTATTCTTTTTAAAACTACATTTCCAGTCATGTAAACACAACTAAATGTTTTATTAATCTATTGTTTTGGTGGTTTTTTACTTTTCAGGAGGAATAAACCAATAACTGGACACATAAAACCAAACCTATCTGCATGATGACACACCTCAGTAGATAGATGTTTAATTAAAGTTCAGATACGTACATTTTTAATATGAATCACCGGCAAACATCGACTACAGCTGGACAACAAAATAGTAAATTTGCAACTTCCAGCTTCCTGACTGAAGCAGGATTGTCAGAGATGTCTTGATCCTTTAGTTCCTACAATAAGCCATGTTTTTCCTTTTTTTGTGACCAACAGAAGACAGATGTTCTGTTAAATCCAGTTTCTACACGACGTCTTCCTTTGCTTTAAGGGCTCCGTTTTCATGTACTGTACGGATGAATGTCTGGAATCTGAGACTGTAAATATTTAGATGATTTCACTTTACGGATGTTTTTGGAATCTATGATGTGAAATAAATTAACTGGACGTTCATTCATGTGTCGTGTTTGTTGAGAGAGAAGGAGAAAGGATTATATTCTGTGGAGTTAAAGTCATTTCATTAATATTATTCTGCAGCATGAAGGGATTACGTGACAACAGGATGAATTAATTAAAGAAATAAACTACTGATTGCAGTGTTAGTCTCTCCATTTTAAGTCATATTACATGTATGTTACAAATGCTCTCGTTGCAGCAACATAAAGAACAACTCGGTGAATCCATTCCTGCTTTATTTGGTTCCTGTGATTAAAAAACGAGCAGAATGTGTCCAATCAAAACTGTGAAATACCACAAAGAACCCTCATCTGGTCCTGGTCCAGAGCAGAGTTTAAGTCAGTGATAAATAAACTAAATGAAATGGAACTTTTACGTCCGTTCTCTTCATGAATTTAACGAACCCTCAGGCTGTTTATTCTCCGTCTCTGCTGCCACGCCTGGAATCCTTCAGCTCACTCTCAGGTAGGTGGTGTCAGGATTTCATGGCCCCAGGACGCCAGATTTTCAGGATTCCACTCAACAAAGACCTGAACAAGTGGCTGCTCTACTTCAGCTAACGCTGCATGCAAACATTAATCTACTCTGTGTTTATTTATATACACACACACCTATAAACCGTATTATCACATTATTAAGTTCATGTCACCCCGGCTGGTTTCTCTCCTCCTGCTGCCCTCCAACATAAACGTCATTATTTCCCCACAGAAACCAATCAGAGCTCTGCAGCTAATTAAGTTGATTAACGGCATTAAGAGCAATTATTTCTGATTCTTCATTGTATCTCTGCAGCTTCTCAAGAAAAATTAGATTCCCCCTTTATGCTAAACAACGAGCTGTTTGTTCAGGTTGCAGCCCGATAGTTTTCTGGGTTTTCTCACCATAAATAAAAACACAGAGAGAATTAAAGCAGCTTTAAAAAAAACTAATGAGCTCAATGTAAAGTCAAACAACTGAAACATTAAAATGGTGACGATGACGGAAAATATCTGTAAGATAATGTTATTGAACTGAAATAGAGTAACACGCTGTGATCTTATGGTCACACTGAAAAAGAATGAATCAGTATTTGGAGAAAAAAATGCTGATTTTCAATGTGAAGAATATTTGTTCATTAATTTATTAATAATTAAAAGCTTTGGAATAAAAAAAAAATTATTATTATTATTATTTTTACAATTAACGTAAATTTTTACTTTTTTGTCTGTGGTTTTACTAAATATATTTTGGAATTTACTAAAACAGGAAAATTGATAATATATATAATATTCTAAAAATATCAAAAAAATACTTAATATATTTATTTTCCCTCTATTTTTATTTTTGCTGATTTAAATATATATATTTCTTATTTAAAACAATCAACATGTAAATTCATATTTTTTTGTCTGGGATTGTATGAAATAATATTTACCAAGTTTACCAAAACAGCAAAAAATATAATATGTATAAAATACTTAATATATTTATTTTCTCTCTATTTTTTTTCTGATTTAAAAACAGTAATAAAAAAAAGGTATAGTTGTAAAAGTCAAACATTATTTTGTCAACCGTTGTTAGTAATTTAGTTTTTTTTTTTCAATTTACAGTCAACATGTAAATTAATACTGTTTTCTTATAATTTTACCAGCTCTAATCTATAATGTAACAAAACAGGGAACATTTGTAAAATTATTCTAAATTTAAAAAATATATATATATATACATACATTTATAAACTTAAACTTTCTACAGTGCAGATTAAAATCAATCTTTGTGCCTGTGGGGTTAAAAGTGGAACATCTTCTTCTAGAAAGCCGGTCCTGAGCGTCTATATGTTGAACAGAAGCTCCTGTGTTCAGTCCAAACAGCGGCTGCAGGCTTCAGCTCACTCAGACCTAAAGGCCATGAAGTCGGTTTCACCTGAAAACTCACTGAACTGATTCTTTAGCCAGCAGCAACAATAAAGACGTTTCAGCCGCTGACCCGGGGCGGCCCGAGGCCACCGGATTCCTCCTGTGGCTGTTTCCAAACGCTGCCACAGGTCAGCATGAAGCAGCAGCGTGAAGGCGAAGGGTGTGTCCGGCCGGTTCCAGGGCGAGGAGCTGCTGCTGCTGCTGTGGGAAGGACCTTCCTCCTCCTCCTCCTCCTCACAGCAGCACAACGGGTTTGTCTGCTCGCTATAAGGCTCAGCAGCACCTGCTGGCGCTCCGTTAGTCCGAGCAGAGGGCAGCTCGTGGCTGTTGACTCGACTAGAGGCAGAGATGGCTGCAACCAGTGCTCAGCCAATGGGGAGCCTGCCCAGCGGACTGGGGATCTGCACCACGGCGCCGGACGTCTTCTACCTGCCTGAGCTGGTGAGTGGACCGAGGACCTGGAGGAGGTTCTGTCCAACTTTGGATGCTTTGGTGCAAATCTAGACTTCATAGTTCATCACTTTGGGGTTTTTTCTTTACTTTCATTTGACTGGTTTGATTTTAAAACGTCTTTAATACAAGAAATGAAGAAATCATTTGCAAAAACAGATCAACTGCATCTTCACAGACCTTCAGAAAACACGTCTCCATCGTCTACCTGAGACAACATCAATCAAACTTAACTCTATTGTTGTCATTTCCACTGAGTCTCATCCACTCGGCTTCAGTTTGATGTTTTCTGAAAAACTACAAAAATGGAGGAATCTATTTTTGCAAATGAAGCCTTCAAATACTTTTACAAACTCATTTCATGCCAACATTACAGCATCCTGAGCAAAGAAAATCTAGATTTAAATCTTAAATTTAACTTCTGCACATCAAAAAAACAGCGAGAAGTTGTTTTGATTTTATTGCTGCTGAAACTACAAATAAATATGATTCAGAAGTTGTTTTAAATGACGACTATCAGACTCCATATTCCCAATTAGAGCCTCACTTTTGCATTTTGCAGTTAAAAAATAAACCAAAATTAAACTTCTGCACCCCAAAAACAATTACATTTAGTTTGAATTGAGTGCTGGTGAATCTCCAAATTGATTTTAAATGCACAGTTGATGCAAAAATGTGTGTTTTTTGTAGAAAAGGGAGACAATAAGTCATATTCCCCCCGTGTGGGAGGAGCAGCTCTAAGTTTTCACATCTCACGTTTCGCTCATATTGTGTCCGAGGCGCTGATCTAAAGCAGGAATGCGGTCAACTCGTCTTCTCCCCGAGCGATGACAAAAGATAGAAACTGTCCAACAGCTCACATGCAGACGATTCAGTTTAATAATAGGTTTAATTAAATGATATTTTAGTTTGTTTTGGCTTTTATGAAGACACTGGTGCAAAAAGCTGCGACAGAAGATGTGTTTTAGGTGTTTTGGATGTTTACTCAGATTTCTTGGTGGCTAATCGAGAACGCTTCACCACTAATCTGCACATCAGTTAATTCAGTGATGAAGCAGATCCTCCTGGAAGCTTCTCACTGTGTGTGGAAGCTGCAAAACATCTGGATTAAAACGTCTATTAATGATCGTTAAGGTTATTAAAAATAGGATTCCTCAGTAACAGTTAAACCTCTATTAACATTCATGTACTTGTATTCTAGTTTAAAACATTTCCTTTAGAGAAAACCTCAGGAGACGATTTAAACACTGAGATTTGTTCTGCAAACACCAGCCGTATTGACTTAATGTCAGATAGCTTCATGTGCAGTATTTCCCTTTATGCTAATAATCTTTTATCAGCCCCCAGTAAACAGAACTTTACACATAAATCCCAGTTTATTCTCACCAGTAGCCTGTTGAGCATAAACATTTGCCTTCATTTGCATGTTTTTGTTCACATTTTCACATTTGTCCTCCATTTTCTTGGTCATTACCCACATAAAGTAGATCTACTGAACTCTTTAACTCCCTCTTTTTTGCTAAAGGCTCAGAAACATTTAGTTTATTGACTCTTGGAGTTAAAATAACACCGAGAGCTACGATGTGCTGCTACAGATGACAGTAAAGGAGAGAAAACTGCTGTTTGTTGCTCTGAAAAGTTAAACTTTGTGCTTCCATAAAGTGTTTAATTTAATGATGCCGTTCAAAATGCAGCTGCAGAATTTAGCATCTCAAAGGTTTAAACACTGACTCAGTGATAAAGCTTTTCAATAACGCTGATTTAAATCAGGAAAATGTAAATAAGTCAAACATCTTGAGCTGGCATGCATGTAAGTCTTTTGTCCTGCAGATCATTATTTAAAAGTTTAAAGCAGTACGTGCTGCTC